GTTCAGGAGGTGAGGTCAGCCTGGCTGGGTGTGCTTGGTGCTGCTGCAGCTTCCCGAGAGCTCTGCTATCTCCATCTGTGGCCCTGTCCCAAGGGCAGGGCTGCTGCTTCTRTTCACCCCTGGGTGCAGGAAGTTTGCAGCCAGTGTGATTACCAAGCTCAAGGTATAGTCTAAATGGACTGAAGGAGGTTTGAAGAAGGAGAAGGAGCTCTGGGACAAGGTTGGATATGACTCCTCTCCCCTGATGTGAAGAATTCTGATGATTTTTCATGCATTTCTCTTTGCAGGACCTGCAGAGCAGCTGATGCCTGGATAAGGCTCATCCCAGTGCCTGGAAAAGGATTATCCCAGTGCATGGAAAAGGATCTTGCCAGTGCCTGGAGAAGGATCATCCCAGTGCCTRGAGAAGGATCATCCCAGTGCCTGGAGAAGGCTCATCCTAGTGCATGGAAAAGGATCATCCCAGTACCTGGAGAAGGATCATCCYAGTACCTGGAGAAGGATCATCCCACTGCCTTAGGCTGCCACGGTCCCAAGCTGTCCTTGAGGCTGAGGTAGTAGATTGAATAGTTGTGGAGTCCGGTCCTCCCTCTGAGCTAACTATACAATCTACTGTCTTTCCTAAGGAGACAGTCAGGTCTTCAGCTCTCCTCATCCACTTCTACGCCAGCTGTGGGGGCAGGTGGTGCAAGGAAAGCAGCTCAGTGCCCGTGACACGTCCCTTGTGCTCTGTGGAGGTGAGGTAGTAGGTTGTATAGTTTGGTGGGAGGGATTCGATCCCATTTCAGGTGATAACTATACAGTCTATTGCCTTCCTTAAAGAGCAGCAGAACCAGCGGAGGAGCTCCCAAGGCATTGCTTCTTTGTGGAGGATCCACAAACCCAGCGTGGCATTGTTAAACAGCTCAGTGGGTGTTTCTYTTGCAGCATCCAGGATTGCATTCTGCCAGGAATTGCTTCGTGCCTCAGGCACTGGAGCATGGAGCCACCTGCTTCCASAGAAGCTGCCTTTCTGTAAGGTGCAAGAGAACCAGGAAAATGTGTCTGTACAGCAGCCTTCAATGTTCAATTCATTCTCTTTTTGCAGGAGATGGGCTCAAGTTGTAAAGTGTTTATGTGCATTGATCTTTTCTGGTCTGTGCTCAGGTTTGGAGGGGCGCGGATATTTTTGTATAAACGGACAGATTTGAGCTAATGATTTAATTTTGTTGTGCCCAGTTCTGAAATTTGGGTTCAGAACCGGACCAAGGGCAAGCTTAGCCTGCAAACTCAGAGCCCTGGGAGCTGATCAGATTTGGCTGCTTGGCCCCTGCTCAGGAAGTGCATTTTGTTCTGGACAAGTTCCCAGCCTGTCCCATGGAACAGAGTCAGGGGGTGGTTCTTTCTGATCTGATAATCCCTATCAACAGAACTCACTCACATGCAAACCCTGGCGGGGAAGTTTAGGGCTCCGGGGTATTTACACAGGATAAGCCACTGATTCAGACTAAAACATTGTCCTRAAGTGGAGACAGGTAGGGAAGAGRCATGAGCCAAAGGGAGCAAGTCYTAATCYTTCTGGGCTCTCCCAGGCACCATCCCTGACAGGAGACGTGCGAGAAATCGTCACGCTTCAGAGCCCTGGCCCTTGGCAAGGGACAGGGAATTGTTAATTCTCTTTCTGAGGAGCAGATGGGACTATCCCTCTGCCATTTTCCAAAGTAAGTAGGATCGAGACCATGAGTGGAGCTGTAACACRATCAGGGCTGCCTCGGGAAGGACATTTCAGGCCATTATCACGACCATCTCACTGCCAGGGAGACGCGTGAGATCCGAGACACCAGGGAGCRAGGGCAAGCAGAGGACACCTTCTCGGATGAAGTGGGAGGGAGAAAGCAAAGAGAAACYGGAGCCCTCAAATTTCACCCCGAGCAAAGGCGCAGGGAGAGGCAGAGCCGGCTGCTTGGGCCGTGGGAGTCCCCAGGATGAAGCAGCTCAGTTCAGGCTCCTCTCTGCGCCGGGGCGTAGCTGTGGCGGGGCTGGGACACAGCTGCTGGGTGGGGATGCTGCAGTTGCAGGCGSTGAAGGAATGCAGCCCTCTCTCCATAAATCTGGCTTTTCAGCAGTCCTGGCSACTCGCTGTGTTACAGCTCGGCGCTCTGAGCTGCGTTATTCCCCTCCAGCTGCCTGCTCAGGGGCAGGGCTCTGGCCTGCAGATTGCCTGCAAGGTACCAAAATAGCACCACAGGCATGGGAACAGGGCGGCACAGCCACTTCATCTGGAGAGGTGTCCCCTGGAAAAGAGCTCATCCCGGGYGTCCCAGATGGAATCCGCTCAGTCCCGCTTCGTGGTGTTGAGATTCATGCAGAGAATGTCAAGCAGTGGAACTGAGTGAGCTGGAAGCCATGAATAAAATATTACTGGAGATACTCTCTTGTGAAAATAAACTTGGTTTGACTTTTTTCAAMCAGTCTTTTTATTTCCCTGAAGTGAGCCTGGCTGAGGAATTGGTACCTTTAGAGAGGTGGCCACTGTTCCTCACTGCCCAAAATCCTGGGCATGAGAGGGGAGCCCCAGCCAGGACTCAGTGAGGATGTGGGGCACACTGGGTTGGCCAGGCAGCTGAGACAATCTGTTTTGGCTGTCAGGAGGTGCTTTCCTGACACAAAATTTTCAATACAAATCCTACACAAAGACTGTCCTGCTTCCTCACCCTCAAGGGCTGCACGTCGGGGTTCTTTCTGCCCTAGACAGTCCTTGCTGTAAACACATTCATAATGTTGGTAGCAGGAAGAGGAGAACACAGGACTTCCAGCGTGCATTAACCCAAATATATCTCATCAAGGGTTAAGAAACCAGCCCAGGTAATATTTAGTTTCTCCAGTGCATTCTGGCACAAAGGGAAGGAGGGTGAGCAGCCTGGCTGAGCTCATACCCGTGGATATGGGGGACACCCACCTGAACACACTGGCCAGGATCCCACAGCACAGGGCACTGGGGCAGCAACATCATCCCTGACCATGATGGTAGGGTGGAACAGGCACCTTCTCTTAACAAAAGCTTCCAGAAAGCAAGATCAAAAAAGGTGGGGTGTCTTCCCAGCACTGCGACGAGAGCACCTTCAGCCCAAACACTCAGAATATCTGGCAGATGGATGTACCTGACAGCAGCAAAACCCCAAATCCAAATCCCCCACGAGGGTGATTATGCTCACCCCAACCTTTCTGACTCACTGCAGTCACGGCAAATTCATGAGTTGAAAGAAAGGAACCTCTCCACTCAGTAGCAGCAAATACATCGAAGTCCCTGATGGAAGCAGACCCCAGGGGTGGAGGGAACCAAGCAGGTGAGGTTCATAAAGCAGCCAGGCTTCATAAACACCACAGATCCCATCATTTTAACCCAACTCAGCCCTGATGATAGGTAATGCCTTCCCCTCCTCCCACCTCACATGGCCGTGGGGCGGCAAGGACCTGGCAGAATCTGCCAGGGTCACCCCTTATGCCAATCCCAGAAATGGAATGGAAATGCTACAAAAGTCTCTCTCGAATGTTTTGTGCCCACCCCTGTGCACCACACCAAACCCTGCCCTTGCCTGAAGCCCCCAATTTCGGGTTAAGCCAAACCCCCCAATGCCTGTGCGGGCAGGCTCAGCCCCGCTGCCCTGGGGAGCAGGGGAAGAGGAAAGCGGATTTCCTTCGGGGTCGGACTTTTCTGTTGCTAGGAACTCTATAAATAGGTCCTTGCACAACAGTCTCCACGAGTCAGAACCTTCAGGAACACAYAACTCCATGGTTTTCACAAGGTTCCTAGCCCCAAACTGATGATAAAATGTTTAAACCCTGGAATAATGTTGGTGGCTGTTACTGGCAGCACCATTGTGCCTTGATGGCTCTCAGCAGGGTGGGGGATCCAGCACTGAAGAAAATCAGTTTTTGCCCAAGTGCCCTGATCCTGCTGGCAGGAGAAATGCTTTTGTGCTCTTTGTAGTGTTTCTAAGGAATTTCTAGGGAATGTTACATTGTCCTTCACCCAAATGCAAAACCAGAGGAGGTTCTGAAGCCCTCTCCCAGCTCAGACCCCTCTCCCCTCACACAGGTGAGGAGCAGCCTCTCAGGCTGTGTTTTTATCATCTGTCCAGAAGCCCGGGATGGATTTTCCCCGGAAAGCAGCTCGGCAGCAGCAGCTCAGCTGCTCCCAGAGCACGCAGCAGCCACGGCACCTGGGCACGAGGTTATTTTTAATCTGATCCTTAACCACCTCTGAAGCTGGCGATTAAATAAAGCTGCGGACTGCGGGCAGGATCTGCGGGGCGAGCTGAGCTGCCCAGTTCTCAGCGGTGCCTCTCCCAGTGCCATCTGCTGGTCACTGCCTGGCCGGGCTGGATGGAGCGTGACCTCAGAGCAACCCGCAGGCAGCTGGGCTCCTGCAGGAGAGATGGAGCTGATGGGCTCCTCAGCAGGGCTTGGGGAGAGGCGAAATTTGGAGCTGCAGGGGCAGCTTTGCCGGGAAAAGCAGCAGCAGGAGAATGGGGAAAAGCAAAAGGCAAAATCAGCGTCGCTCCTGTGCTAAGAGTCTGCCTCATGAGGCCCTTTGGCCTTATGCTGCTCCCAGATGGATGTTCCGAAGTAAAAATTCTGCAAAAACACGGGATCTGGGGACACACACTTGTATTTAACTTCTTTCTCTGCTGCTAAGATGAAAATGTGTATGTTKAGGGTGAGAGAGGCTTCCCTAAAGCAGGGAACCAAAAGCACTCCAGTTCTAATTTTTATTTCTCTTTTTTTTTTGCTCTGAGCTCTTTTTCTCTTGTTTTCCTTGCCCAAGAATTCCTGGTGGGGACGCATTTTTGCTTTACACTCAGCTGGATGCTCAAGAAAAATTCCCTACGTCACCTTCAATCCCCTCCTCCTGCTGCTTTTACACAGCTTTAAAAACATCAAGTTATACCCTTACAAAACCCAGCACATGGATGCTTTTGGAAAGCCAAAAAACCCCTTCAGGACCCACGGAAGTCGTGTTTTAGCAATTCTGTGCAAGCACACAATTAAGGGCATTTTACAGGTGTCATGAGTGGCTTCAGGTGTCTAGATCCCCCAGTGAGACACTGCAGAGACTTTCACAACAGRATTTATTCAGTGCATGCTCTGGAGATGCACAGGGCAGAGCAGCAGTGGGAGGATATGGATGGTGGTCTTCAGGTCATCCCCCACCTCCTCGGTGAGAAATGAAAGGTTGTGATGAGTGGGGAAAGGGCTGGACCTCTCTGTTATCGTCCTTGTGCACATATTGAACACATCTGGCTGGGAATCCTCAGCTGAAGGGAGGAAGGACGTAGGGTAACCAAACAAAGTGTCCACAGTGGTCCTGCAACAGGACCAGGAGCCACCAAAAACCTCACCAAGAACCTCAAACAGTGTCACTCAAACCTCTGGAGCTCAGATTGTACCAACACCAACACACGAGGRGATTTGTTCTCCTTGACCACACACAAGTTACACATCAAGAGGCATCTCTATCTAAATTCAAATACACCGAAATTATGCAAAGAATGAAGCCATGCAGGGAAAAGCTACATGAAGGAGCTCAGCTCTGAAGGTTTTTCTCTTCTGTGCACGCACACAGGTGCAGGCACACTCGTAAAATAAATGCATGGCATTGGAGTAACTGAGGAATGGGACATGTGGCAAAGAGCAGGAGAGAGGGAGGAGGCAAGGGCTGCAAACTGTGAGGGGGAGAGGGGAGAAGAGCTGGGCAGTACTGGCCAGAGCTACACCAGAACCAGGAGGAAACACAAATCCTCCAAAAAGCCACTCTTTTTGGACAAGAAGGGAATGAGATTAACCTTGTCCAAAACTGAAAGAAACACACTGGGAGGGAAAAGAGCATTTCTGCTGGAAACAAGCCCCAAAGCCATCCACCGTGTCTCATCTGCAAACCCCAAAGCCATCCACCGTGTCTCATCTACAAACCCCAAAGCCATCCAGTATCCCCCTGCCCCTTGGTGTCCCAGTCACCCTGCTGTCCCCAGGGTCACGGTGCAGCAGGGCCTGCCAGCCACACGGCTTTGTGGGTGATCAACAGTTCCAGCCTGGAAATGGAACAGAAGCCAGGAAGAAAGGAGAAGCGTCCAAGGTCACCAGCATTATGGCAAACACCCTCCTGCCCTCGGGTCTCCTTGGGAAGGGGACCAAGTTCCCCAGGGCTGCSGGCTGCCCTTGGCTCACCGGGGCTGCAGCAGAGGAGGCAGCGCAAGGAGGGAGCTGGGAATTGTCCSAGGAGTGTCCTGAGCCTGCCGGGGCTGTGGAACAACCAGCGCTGACAAAAGCCTTGGTGAGGGGTGCAGGGACAGCTGAGGAAGACCCTTCAGAGCAGAAGGCCCACCAGGGTGGCACTGGGGAGGAGGAAGAGYSAAARCCCCAAGCAGGCACTGGGTGCTCCAGCATTGGCTGGATCCACACTTGTCTGGTCCGAGTTTGTCTCCAGTTCCTCTGTGTCCAGGGCACCTGCTGAAAGAAGAGTGCAAAACGTGGAGTTAGAGGGGAAGATCTGGCGGAAGGGAAACTCCCACTCATGCAGGTATGCCATGACGTGCTCCGAGGCACCGTGAGGCAGCAGAGCTCTGCTCGGGGGAAGCTGTGTGTTAGTTGGACCATGCTTCAGGGGCGACACATCCAACCAGCCCCTCAGGGTTAGAGCAAACAGTGAGGAAAACGCTTGGTGCCACATACAAGAGGAGGATCCRAAGGACCAGTCTGACACTGCTCCTCCCAAGCCCTCTCCATGCTGCTTGGGGATCCCTGAACGTCCAAGTGTCCATGCCAGGACAAACTCCATGGTTGCCTTACCTGAGAGGGAGGTCTGGAAATGGGGGCTCGGCCCTTTTTTGTCTTTGGAGGATGATGTTAAGCGCAAGAAGGTGGGCTCTTCAGGGCTGAGGACCACTGACTTGGAGGGGGTTATGAGCTCAGTTCTATTGAAACCTAACTTGATCTCTGGAACTTGGCTGAGGGATGGAGGTGGACTGGAAAAGGCTGAATTCTCTTTCCCATCCTCTTTGACACCTTCCTTTGTTTCTGGGACTGATCTGGGGCTGAAGGCTGTGCCCATGCTTTCTAATAAGGCTGGATCCTCTGTGGTGAAGGAGATGAGAGGCTCTCCAGTGTCTGCCTCTGGAGATACTCTATAATCTGGGTTTAATGTGGGCTCAAAGGAAAGAGTGATCCCGGTTGCCTCAGTARGATCCGGCCTTTCTGRTTCTGGCTTTGTGGTTGTGGCAGTTTTCGGTTGTGTCTTTGCTGTTGTGGCAGGTGCTGGTGTCGTAGCAGCAGGTGTTGGTTTGGCCCTAGTGGTGGTAGATGTTGGTGTGGTGGGTGCTGGCTTGGCTGTGGCTATGGCAGGTTTTGGCTTAGCCACAGTTGGGTTGGGTTTTGGTGTGGTGGGTTTTGGTGTGGTGGGTGTCGGTTTGGCAGTGGTGGTGGTTGTGGTGGGTTTTGGTGTGGTGGGTGTTGGTTTGGCCATGGTTGTGGTTGGTTTTGGCTTGGCTGTGGTGGTGGTTGTGGTGGGGTTTGATGTGGCGGGTGTTGGTTTGGCTGTGGTGGTAGTTGTGGTGGGTTTTGGTGTGGTAGGTTTTGGTGTGGTGGGTGTTGGTGTGGTGGGTGTTGGTTTGGCCATGGTTGTGGTTGGTTTTGGCTTGACTGTAGTGGTGGTTGTGGTGGGTTTTGGTGTGGTGGGTGTCGGTTTGGCTGTAGTGGTGGTTGTGGTGGGTTTTGGTGTGGTGGGTGCGGGTTTGGCGGTAGTGATGGTTGTGTTGGGTTTCAGCGGGGTGGGTGTCATCTTGGTGGTAGTGGTGGTTGTTGGCTCAGTGGCAGTGGTTGTTAGGGTGGGTTTTGGTGTGCTGGGTGTTGGCTTGGCCATAGCTGTGGTGGGCTTTGGCTTGGCTGTGGTGCTGGTGGCTGCTGGTGTGGTGGGTTTGGGTTTGGCCATGGCTGTGGTGGGTTTGGGTTTGGCCATGGCTGTGGTGGGTTTGGGTTTGGCCATGGCTGTGGTGGGTTTGGGCCTGGCTGTGGTTGTTGTTGGGAGAGTGGTGGCAGGTTTTGGCTTGGCTGTGCTGATAGGTTCCTGTGCTGGGGGTTTGGGCTGGGCTGTGGTTGGCAATGTGGCTGTGGGTGGTGGCTTGGCTGTGCCAGACACTGGTTTTGTGGGTTCTGGTTCAGCCGTGGTATGGACTGGTGTTGTGGGTTCTGGTTTGGCTTTGGGCTCTGGTTTAGCTGTGGGCTCAGTTTTAGCTGTGGGCTCTGGTTTGGCTGT